TTCTCTCCTTCCCAGGTATTTTGGTGGTCTTTAGAGGGTCTCTTCCATCTCAGTAAACAGTCACTCCCCATAATGCCTCTGTGAGGAGGCAGGATGATATTGGTACAACACAAAGCTGATTTCACCTCATTCCTTATCAAAACTGCTTCTTGTGCTGCTTGGATTCCTTGTGATTCCGGACAAGCACTGGGTCTGGCTGTGTTGAAAAAGCCCTTGCAGGGGTTGTGGTGATGGTGCCATAAATAGGGAGGGCTCAGGTGTTATCACACAGCAAAGTAAGATGAGAGAGTGTTGCATTCCAGAGAGCTGCCTGTCAGAAAGCAAAGTGAAATGATTTCTGGGAAGAATGTCCTGAGTTTTTTTATTTTTGGTTTTAAACGTAACAGCATTTTTTGTAAACCTGAGCACTTAGACTTTGCTTCTCTTTTAGCCAAGGGGAAGTGAGAAGAAAAAAATTACAGAAAACATGAAATTTTTAGTTTTTATTTCAGCATCTTTTAAAACCGGTTGTAGAATCCTAGAATAGTTTGGGTTGGGAAGGACCCCGTCTCATTCTATGTGCTGCCATGGGAGGGACATCTTCCACTAGCCCAGGTTGCTCCAAGCCCAGTCCAACCTGGCCTTGGACAGAAACTGGTTGCTCTTGATGAACCAGACACAGTGTTTCTGTCCTTGCTCTTTTTTAGCTTCAAGCTCTCACAATGACATTCTGGATTTAGCCTTTGGAGTTTTGAGGATGTCAACTTCACCTGGATGCAGTAAAGGTTTTTTATGAGCACTGACATATGTATTAAATGATGCACTGGAGATAGAAAATAGTGGCTCTCTGTCATGTAATTTTTAATTATAAAACATGCAACTGAAGAGAAACAAAAGTCAAGAGAGAAGAATCCGGTTATTATTTCTGGGACGGATGCTTCTCTGCTGTTGCTGTCCTGAGGATGTTTTTTACAGTGGGATAAAGGCACCTTTAAATAGTCTGTTTAAAGTGTAATTGGTAAGTGCTCAGCTACAGTATTATAATTCAGTTGCATATAATTTGCATATAACATGGGGATGGAAAAATACAGTAACAGTGACTGAAGCATTTATGGTGTTTTGGTGCATATTGCTCTGGACGCTGATTTTCCTGAGCCTGGGTTTATCAGTTGTCTGGCAGTGGATGATTTACAGGTGCTATAAATGACACCAGAACTTACAATTGTGTTGTTTCGAGTTAACTGCTGTTCCAGGACTTAGTTAAATGGTTTTTCTTACAAAAAACATTGAGTCAGCTTCCAGCCATGGGCTCCTTGCACAGCCATGACCATCCCAGGCGTGGGTTTAGGAGGGAGTTGCACAGTCTGCAGGACCTTGCACAGGCACTGGTTTATACCTGGGGCCCTGGAGCTGCACTGTTTCAAAGCTGGGTTTGTGTAATGCAGGCACATTGCACAGTTGACTCTCCCATTTTCCTTTTTTTTCCTCCTTCTTTTTAATATCCAGTTCAGTGTTTTTGAATTTAGTCTCAGTATTGCTTTCTTAACATCATAAAACTGTATTTAAGAGAGCAAGCCTGATTCAGCCTTTATATACTTATCTGTTTTAATAATTTTAAAAAGGAATCCTCCTCCCTTGACCCTAAAAGGGGGAGAGAAAGCCCATAAAGATGTTGCAGAATTGACTCTCAGGAAAGCAGCTGCTATTTTCATGTGCAGAAAGCCAAATGCGGGAGTAAAGGGGCCTTTGAGCTCGGCAGTGTCCAGCTGCTGGATGGCTGCCTTTTATCATGGCATGCAGCTGTGCCCAAGTGTCTGTCCTGGACAGTGCAATGGTCCTGCTGGACATGGACACCTCCAGTGACTGCAGTTAGTCCTTGCTGGACACGAGGAGGGAAATAACAACAAAACAAAAGGAGCAAAATATAAATGGAGTTGAAGCAACACTGCATCACTTCCCAAATTAATAAACGTGACAGGGTTAAAACAACTCTAGAGACAAGTCCTTGGGGAAGATCATAAAACCTTGACAGCTTTTTAGAGAGGCTTTCAGAAATACTGAACTGAAGCTGTGCTGTTGAATCATAGAATCCCAGAATGGTTTGTGTTGGAAGGGACCTTAAAGCTCATCTCATTCCATGCCCTGCCATGGGCAGGGACACCTTCCACTAGACCAGGTTGCTCAGAACCCCATCCAGCCTGGCCCTGGACACTTGAATATAAACACCTTTGAAATGTGATGGTTTTAATGTAGTTTCTGACCAAATTATCAGCAGGTCAAAGAATGTAAAGTTGAAAGGCTGTTGAAGGTGTTAGCAATTCTTTGTGGCTGTGTGAGTAGGTCACAGAGGTACCTGTGACACTGTGTAATAACTGACAGTGTATATTAACTAAGGCCCTGATGTGTGGACATTGAATTGGAAAAGGAGCAGTATTTGAACATTTGAATGATAAAGTAATTGTAAGGAGAATCCTTGTGGACAGAAGGAGACGGACTCAAAACAACTCAAAGAAGGTCAGCTCAGTTGATCCTCATGAAAAAGAGCTTGGAGTACAGTGGAAGAACTTGGAAAATACTTCTGAGACAGTGTTGTCCTCCAGATGATGAAAACAGCATGATGGGTGAGATTTTCACTTTGCTGTAGGTGTTGTCCTCTGCTCTCCAGGTGTGAGTGAGGTGCCAGTGTGGTCCAGCCTGGGGGATGCATTTACACTCGCAGAGCCAGCCCCTGCTCAGTCCCTCCTTTGGCCAGCCGAGCAGACTGTGCACTCGTGTTGTCCTTGCTTTCCAAAGTTGTCTTAGTCTTTTGCAATCCGTATTTCTGATTTCTTCAGGGGCCTTGTATTATTTTGTTCCACTCTCACAAGTTGAACAATGTTGCATTAACTTTTCTTCCCATCAGTTTTTCTTCATGACAAAACTGCACGAGCATCTGCAGAGTTTCAGTGTGTTTGGATGCCTTCTCTGGCCTATTTTGACCTGGGTTTTCCACATGAATTATGATCCTGTAGTCATTTGTATTGTTCTGACAGTACAATTCGTTAAAAAAATCCTATTACATTTCAATTCCTGCTGATTGTATTCAATAGTCTTTGGAAGCCTTTTCAATTATTTATAATACATTTTTTCTCCACTCCTACAGCTGAGTAGAATGTGTATTTTTCCCTGCTCTGTATGGGTTTTCTCCTTGCTTTGACTGCTGTGAGGCTGTTTCCAGCTGGGCTTCCCCTCCCCATTCATGTGTTGATTTGGCAGGAAAATGCCAGTGTGATCAGGCCAGGCGGCTGTGAGGGAGCGTGGGACAACACTCCATTTGTCCTGGGCTTTCAGGATTATTTCCTCCAGCCTGGCCCTGCTCAGTGATGCACCTTTCACCACTGCAGGACCACAAGGCAGCAGTTCATGTCCCTGCATCCAGAAGCTGCCCAGTCCCACAGCTGGACTGACAGGTGTTCCCCTGCTCCTTCCTCGATGGGTTACATTCTGTGTGCTGCCTGAAGGGAGTTGGAAGCAGGACTCAAAATAGTTTTGGGTGGTTCCTGGTTTCCAGGTCAGCTCCAGTTTCAGTTTTTGGGGGTGAACAGCACAGATAAGTTCATACCCTTCACTGTTCCTGCAGAGATGTGAAGGCACACACACACTCTGCAAGGATGACTTGTATTATTTAATGCCTTCTGCAGTCCCTGCAGCCGTGCTGTGCATGCAGGAATCACTGGCCTGGTGTTTGCATGCATTGGTGCTGAATGGTGCTGAACCCAATATTGAGCTCAGTATCTAACAGACCTTTCCAAAAGGTGTATTGTCCAAAAGGATGCTGTGTCCCTCTTCTTCAGGTCTGCAGGGGTTTTGCTGAGCTGGGCTTCATGGGTGAGGTGTAAATGCTGTCAGGATGGTTCTTAAACCTCTTTATGTACCAAAAATTGCCTTATCATTACTATTCTGCATGGTATTTGGTTTAAATAAATTCAAGTGATATCCAGGAAAAGTTTACACCACGAAACAGAAAGTTGTGCTTTATACACAATTGGTTTTAAATGGTGGCTTTTGAGTTCAAACAGGTGCTTAAACTGTGGCTCAAAGCTGAAGAGCACTATACAGGTGTATGAAATGCAGAATAGAACCCAGCTCCCTATACACAGAAAATTGTCATGGTCGCTTTTGGGAAATGTAACATTAAGTCAAAATACAGAGACAGCTACCAGCTGGAATAAGCTGTAGGTAGTTGAAAAAAGATAGGAGCTAGTTTCTGTGTTTTAAATTCTAGTGAGGTCTGTTGCTGACTTGGCTGCTCCTTGTCATCAGTGGGAGGAAAGGTCTGCAGCCCTCCCTGCTCCTGTTCTGATCCAGAACTGATCCAGTTCTGCCCTAGCTGGTTGTGTGTGAGTTATAACTGTGTTAACATGAACTGAAAATACTGCAATTGGTTTTGGCTAGTCTGCTGCTCATTTATTTGTATCATAGGCTGAAACGTGGTTTAGATGTTACTCTGTGTATATCTAGGCTTGGTTATGGATGCATCCATTCAACATCTCACCATGGAACTGGAACTAATGATGTTCTAAGACTTTATTTTTTAAATAAAAAAAGCCCAAAGCTGAGACTGGAGTAAACTCCTAAATCTGTGTTGAAGGAAATGTTTTTGCTTCCATCAGGGATGTCCAGAAGCTGAGTACTTCATGGGGAGGTGGGATGAAAGTAGGGAATGGATCACAGCAGGTTTTACAGGAGCAGAACCCTGTTCTCTCTCACCTCTGTTTTTCCAGCTCCCTGTTGTGGGCTGGAGGTTTCTGAAGCTGTGCTGCTCAGAGCACAGCCTGCTTTCTCAGCTCCCCTCCCAGCTGGGGATTCTCAGGGATAACCTGTGGGATAGGGTGTGAGACTGAATAACATAGGGCTCTTGGATCAAACCATACCAGCACAAACATTCAGGTACCGTGGCCTTCAGCACCAAAAATCCTGTGTTCTGCTCCTTGATGCTGAGGAGTTATCCTGCAGAGCAGGAGGGAGCAGTCAGTAGTGTCATTTTGGGAATGCAGGTTGCAGTGTACATCCCTTTCATTCCTGCTTGTGCCATTTCCTTGGGACTACGGTTAGGAAACAATAAAAAAAATCCCCAGTAGAAATAGTGAACCCTAGGCAGTTGTTCAGAAGAGCTAAGAGTGAAGTGAGCTGCTTTGTTAACTCTTACCCTGAATTTTACTTGCTGATTTTTAGCGAAATTTCAGCTGCTGGTTCAGCCATGGAATGCTGGTTCAGCCATGGAATGGGTGCCTGTGCTGGGATTGCTCCTCAGCAGCCTGGATGAGTCACCTCCTGTGGTTTTGAGCAGCATCTCTGCACTTATTCTGTCATTTAAGTGTTATCAGGTTAGTGAAGAAAGATTTCTTATTTCTCCAGCTCATCTGCAAGAAGAGGAGGCCCCTTGAAACTGCTCCGTCCCCTAATTGCACAGCAGCAGCAGACGTGCATATGGCAAATGTTTCCTTGCTGACACATTAGCAGCAGGTCCCCAGCATCTCAGCCCCTTGGCTTCTGCATAGCTCAGTTGCTGTGTGTTAAGTTTATCCTCAGTGGCACATAAAGCAGCTCCTGTTGTAGCTCTTAGGGTGAAAAATGCCTTGGAAGCGAGGTGGGAGCAGGCTGTGGGCTCTGTGTGGATGCAGGGACATCTAGCCGACCCCTCTCCAGCTTGCAGCTGTGTTCCTCTTTCTCTGTGGGCAGCAATTTGGCCCAAAAATGCTGTTTGGCCAAGCTTGCCAGGATGCCAGGAAAGGGCTCCAGGTGGAAGCTGGGAGCTCACAGCATAACTGGAGAGTGTATATTCAAAGCAGAGTCAAAGCAGCTTCCCTAGGTGAGGTGGGGTAAATCTGTGCTGGATTTTTGAGCAGAGAGCTGAATTGCTGCTGTGTATGTATTCATCATTCACTGATGGAGCTGGAGATGCTAGGGTCTGTCATCTCATTTGTGGGTATTTTTAAGGATTTTCTAGGGAATAACCAGTCAACTGACAGTGGGGCTTTTTGTTATAAAGCTGTTATGAAAATCAGTGGGTCTAAAGGGAGGTGAGACCCCTGCAAATGTGCAAATTACAGATAATTGCATTAGGACCCATCTCAGTGTGGTTATTTCTTCCTTCATGGTGGCACTCAGGAAAGGTTAAGAAGTAGTTTGGGAAGGAAATCAAAGTGTGAAAGAACAAGAAATGAAGATTAGGCATTCAAGTCTTAAAATTATAGGTCTTCACTACCACACTAGTGGGTGGTATTAGATCCTTGATGCTTTTCCTGTTGAAATAAAGAAGTATGTGCTTCACATTTTTAGGAGAGACTTGTTAAACCACTGCTTTTTTCTGGGAGAGGGGCAGTCCTTAAAAGAGCTCAGCTCCAGGCCAGAGTCAGTGTTGACATTTGGAGATGCATCCCCCGGCCCTGGTGGGGAAAAGGAGAGGAATTCAGGGGAACAAGACTGTTTTTTCAGTGTGGTAATTATCACTCAAGGTTTTCCTCCAAAGCAGTGGGTCTTGTTGATGAAGTTGCTGCAGCTTCTACATGAATTATTTTAGTCTGATTTGACATGATGGTTGTGAATGCCTAGGTGTAATGGTTGCATCTTTGAATTATTTTATTCAGGCAGAGCAAGGGGAGTGGGTCTTCAGAAGGGAGATGATGCTCAGACCTGTGCTTAGAGCCTACTAAATATTGTATAAATCTCTGTTCCTGTAGCTCAGGGCCTTTTACTGTGTCCTGCTCAGTAAAGCACATCTTACTCTTAAACCATGAAGACAGAAATAAAATTAAATAGGAAAGCTTATTGCTTGCTTTTTTTTTCTACTTTAGAGGTGCTCAAGCTACCTTCCCATTACAGTAAGTGCTGGAGATTATTCTTAGATATGCAGGAAAGCCATGCACTGAAAATTGAACCTGGCTTTTCTGTCTAGTGTCTCACATCACATCAGCCAGAGGTACCACCAGCACTGCATTTTCAAAATCTCTTTGGAAATAAATCACAAAACAATCTTTGTTTCATGAAACTGGAGGTTCAGGAAGTGACCTCAAGCCACCAAAAGTCAGTGGAAAGGTCTTGTTGCCTTTAATCAGATCCCTCATGGTGGTTGCTGGTGGGTTTTTAGATAAATGGTGTTGATTGTGCTCTTTTTTAGTGGGGGGCAAGGTAATGACTTCAAACTGCCAGAGGGCAGGGTTGGGTGGGATACTGGGAAGGAATTCCTCCCTGTGAGGGTGGGGAGGCCCTGGCACAGGGTGCCCAGAGAAGCTGTGGCTGCCCCTGGATCCCTGGAAATGCCCAAGGCCAGGCTGGATGGGGCTTGGGGCAGCCTGGGACATCTGCCATGGCAGGAATAGGATGGTGTGGGCTTTAAGGTCCCTTCCAGCCCAAACCATTCCATGGCTCTGTGAACATCTGTCATGTCCTTCTGACAACCACAGCAATCTCTGCTGTAAAAGCAGGAAATACTTCGGTGTTCTCTGCATATTGTTGTATAATCTTACTTTTTATGGAAAGTTGTTTTTTTTTCTTTTCCTCTGCAAAGCATTGAGGATAATCTTTGGAAATCTGGACAAGCTCTGGTACCATTGCTGGTTTGGAAGAGGTTGTGCAGATGAAATATGTTTGAAAAGTTTGGGTTCTCACCTGAAACATCTCTGTGTGCAAGCTAAAACAAATATTCTGCAGTGTTGCCAGCCAGTTAAATCTCATCTATCTTCAAAATTTTATCTATTAATTCTTGTAGAAAGAGGGAGGAAAGAAATTAAATCTTAGAAGTGCATTCTGTAATGGTGGTGGTGATCTTTGTATCTCTACTCCTAAAGTATGTGAGGGTAAGAGAAATTCAGAATGAAATGTAATTAATTTTCTTTGGAAACAGTGAAAAGGGTAAGTTGTATGACTGACATCTCATGTGCTGCTGGGCTTTTCACACTGATTTCACTTTAACTCCACCCCGTGTGAATGAAGAGGATGATTGCAATGCAATTCCCTTTCCCTTCCATATTTGTATTTTACTCTATGGTGTTTGAAATCTTTTTCCATGGATTTACTGGTGGTATGTCTCCTTAAGAGTCTGAGGAAGGAGAAGATGCTCCTGAGAAGTATCATGTTGCTGTTGAGAGCTTTTCTGTTTGGAAGTCACTTGTTGCTTTAATATATCAAAACCCTGTGTATTGGATCAGCAGAAATGCTGATTGCAAGCAAAAGAAAAGAAAATCAGCTAATTTTGCTGATGAAAAAGGTGATCTAAGCCTCAGCAGAGCAAAGGTTGTCCTGTGTTAAGCTGATAATAGGAATTTGTGGAATTAATTCAAACCAGGCTCTCCCTGCTGAGAAAAACCAGGTAGATGATCTTCTCTGTAAGGCTGGGTATTTTTAGCTGTCAGGTTGCAGTATCCCTGTGTCCTTTTGGGAAAGGGATTTGTGCTGAGTGCAGCTTCCCAGGAGAGAGCACAGGTGAGGCTGTGGGGCTGGTTCCACGTGTCAGTGCTGATTTAGTGTCAAGCCATGGTGTCCTTCCCTGTGCTCCCGGTTTTCCAGCATGGAGCTGATTCCCTCCCCTCTCAGGCAGTCACTGCTGTGCTCCCCTGGCTCTCTGGGACAGCCTGTGTCCAGGAGGAGGCTGGAATGTGTAATAAACACAGGACTTGTGCATCACAGGGGCAAACAATTCACAGCAGGGCAGAAAATGTTTCATTTCCTGGCTGTTTGTACCAGTGATGAGGGAAGCATGTTCTGTCCATGGCTCCCAAGGAACAGAAGATATTACCACTGGAAGATGTTGCTCCAGATGTTTGCACCTCTCATTCTGCTGTTCATTTAGCCCTGTTCATTTAGCAAGTCAGTGGGTTAATTTTCAATTTAACTGCGCTATTCATGCCAATTTGAATAATTTGAAGAAGGAGAAAGAGACCTCACATGAACTTTTTTTTTTAGTATTTTTTTCCTTTCCTCCTTAGGCCATTGGTGCACTTCAAAGGCAAAAATGATACCTCTTTGGCTCCAGAATTGCCTTTTGGCTGTTGAATAAAACCCAAAAAGCAGTTATTTTGGTGGAGGGTAGCTGAGAAAAAGAGGTGTCACAGTGGAGAAGTCCCAGGTGCTAACTACCAGCAGCCTGTGTGCAGGACAAATTTGGATTTAATTTCTGCTTTCTTCTTTTTGGAAAAAGAAAAATTAATTGGGACTCAAGCAGGCCTATTTCTTACAGGAAAGAAATGTAATTAATAGCAATAAGTTAAATCCTCAAGTTCTGCCTGGAACAGGTTGTTTCATAGGAAAAGCTAGCGTGGTTTTTCTTTGTAGCTTAAGGGTTTTTCATGAAACTCGTTGCTTTGATCCCTTGAGCATTGCGAAATTTTAACCTGATTTCCTGTGTGGTCAACACAGAAAGAAACTTGCAGATGTATCTGCAACCTGAAGATGATGAAAGATCAGTTATCTCAATGCAATAAAGATGAAAACAAATACACCTGTTATAATAGAAGAATTAGCATGCATTTGTTGTAAAACATTGCAAGTCCTCCATTTGTATGAAGTGTTTGTGGAAGCAAAATGTGTTTTGTCAAGGATGCAGCCTTTGACCATCAGAAATAAGAGGTGAGGGCGTAATGAATGGATTAACAGAGTGTTGAAAGAGTTGGTAAAAGAAAAAACACATCATAAACATTGCTGAGAAGAAAGAAGAAAGGAGTTGCTTCAAGTTTCCAAAGGTATTTTTTATTCTAAGAGTTGAGCTCCCCCATTTTTAGCTCAGAAGAAACCTGGGGTACAAAGAACAGCATCTGAGAGTGTCTCTAGTGTTCTTCTGACCCTTGTGCAAGATGGTATTCCTCAACCTGCTGCATTTCACTTGGGGGTGGTGTAGACACTTTTGATCTGCCTGAGAGATTTTTCACACTAGTGTTTTGCAGTTTGGAGCCTGCAAATTGCCTCTCAAATCTTGATAATTAGTGATGGTGGGTGGTGAACATGAACTGCAAATGGTTTGAGGCTTTCTGCTTTTTATTTTTGGCTTCTGAAAATCTGTGTGCCCCCAAAATGCTGTGGAAGACAAAAGGGAAAATTACATTTGTGCAGAAGTGGGGGAGGAGGAGGAGGAACGGATGTGTTGTTCTGCTGCCATGTGAAGTGCTGTGCTTCACATCCCCAAAGCTTTGCCAGGCATCCCACTGAGTGAGGACCAGCACCTCTGTTCTGGGTGATTTCCAGACCTCATCTCTGTGGGCTCTGGTCCTCAGGCAGGGGAGGTTTCCCAGGCTGGAGAGCATCATGCTGCCCTGTACCTCAGATTTCATCCCCTGTGAAATTAATGCTGCTTTACCCTGTGCTATCCCTGGGTTCTGTGGCTCACAGCACTGTGTTAACAGCAGTCCAAGGAACATGCCTGCAAGTGTGTCACACTCACCTTGGAGGTCATTTTTCAGTAGCTTTCTCAGCCCAGTTTATGGGCACCAGGAGAAGTTTGCCTCCATAACCCAGCTATTAATTGTATGGCTTTTTCAGGTGCTGCTGTGATTGTGGTTCTTTAATGTAAAAGGTGAAATTTCCAGTTCTTGTAGCCCCATCTGTTTCCTTTAATCACAGCATGCCTTCAAACGTGACCATATTTTTAGAGGTTGATGTGTGCTCCCAAAATGCTGCAGGAGAGATTTGACTGTGGATATTTTTTTCCTTTTCTCCCCCAAAGAGCTTTATCTTTCTGCATTGCTGTTCTGTATCTCCTTGCTCCTGAATGTTCCTGCAGCTCAGTGGTCCTGGGACCATCACCATCCTGGGCACTAATCAATAACTGAGTATTTTGCAATTTGTTATGCTGCACGTTGGCTGTATAAAGCTTCACAAAAAAATCTCCTTCATAAACCCAACCCACTGCTCCTTTGTGAAATACATTTGGTTTTTATTACTAAGCAGCTGTTTTCCCTTTTGTAAATGGTCCCTGCTGAGAGATGGAAAAAGAAACAGGAAAAATAATTGAAGATGGCAGGAGCATAATTCATTCAACAGGTACTTCTGTGCCTGCAGTTCTGTTGCTCAGAGGTGCTGAGCTGTGTTAGGCAGTAATTCCCCCACAGCAGCCTCCTACCTGGGTCTCACCCAAACACCTCCACATCCTTTCCAGGGTTACATCAAGCTCCTTTTCCATAGCTGGCCACACCCTTTTCCCAGGAATAATACTACTGGTTGTATTTTAAATCAGAAGTCAGTGTTTTCAGGCTCTGTCTACCTGGAGGTTCCTGCTTTTTCTGAAATCTGAAGGACTCTGTTGGTCGTATTTACCCCCTCATTTGTTTCAGCTGGTTCATTAAAAGCTCTTGTCTTTAAATTTATGTCCTCTGGGGAAATGAGTCCCCATTTCAGTTCCAGTCCAGGTAGCAGTTCCCTCTCCCAGACTGCTGTTTCTCCTCCATCTCCCACACCTCTGTGTGTCTTTACCTCTCTCCAGGCACAGCATGGCTGATGCTTTAAATCCCTTTGGATCCTTGTTTCTCCCCAACAGTGAGATGAAGATCCTAGTGCAGGCTGCCACTTGGACACATGAGAGGATGAGCTGTCAGCTGTGACCCTCCCTGAACTGCAAAAACTGGGGAACATCCCTGGCTTTATACTGACCTTTCCTGTAAAATCTAGGTTTTCTTGGGTTGGGGAGGGGTGGGAAGTTGTGTAACCCTATAGGGTTAAAAAAATAGCTCCAGACAGGTGTGCTCACTCCCTTCCACTGACAGCATCAATGCCTGGTGTAAGTTGCCCAAAACAGTGGCTGCCCCACCCCTGAGAGTGTCCAAGGCCAGACTGGATGGGGCTTGGAGCAGCCTGGATGGTGTCCATGCCCATGGTAGAGGTTGCAACAAGATGAGCTTAAAATCCCTCCCAAGCCAAGCTTTTCTATGATCCTATAAAATCCTGTGTTTTGGGGTGAGCAATTAGCTTTGTCTAAGGGGAAGGAGAAGGATGGGACAATGAGAAATTCAGGCTCAGGTGTGCATATACAGGAGAAGGAAAAAAGGAATAGAGCATGTTGGGGCATGTACTGAACATAAAACTCTGCAGGGGTGACAGGGAGCTGCTGGGAACAGGGATTATTAACAGATGCACATTGCATGTTCTGGAAAGCCCTGACCAAGTGGAGAGGAGCACTGCTCTGTGCAGAGAAGGGGGAAGCTGGCTGTGAGGAGTCAGAGGTGGTCCTGCATGCAGGGTCCTTCCCCTTGCTTGGTGAAAGCCCTGGTCTGCCATAGCAGGAATGGAATCACCCTGAGCCCAGCTGCCACATCCTCATGTCTGTGGCTTTGGGGATGGGCAGGAAAATCCCTGTGGAGGCAGGAGCAGAGCCCTCCTAGGCCATGTGCTGGTGTGTCACTGAGCTGCCCTGGCATGCAGCTGGTGTGCTGCCAGTGCTGAGTGCTCAGGGAAAGGAAACTCAGGATTTCCCTTGGGATTACACATTTCTGCTGGAATGGATACTGCTGTGTCATAGAATGCTTTGGGTTGGAAGGGACCTTGAAGATCATCTTGCTTCAGCTCTCCCTGTCCTAGGTAAGAGTGCTTGTCTGATGTTACACATAAACTCGTGCTCAGCGTGGGGCAAAATAGGCCACAGCCTTGTGTAAAGCACCTGCTCAGAAGTAATGAATTAAGAAATTGTGTGTATGATCTTAGGCTATAGCTGAACTAAAAAACTTGGCAAAAGGGGGAATTTCTCACTTTCCTTTAGCTGGTGAAAAGGCAAACCGGGTCATCTTACCAAACTTTGAGGTAGCTTTTGTTCCTGTGCAGAACCATTTAGCAATAAACAGTTCATGAATTTGAATTTCTTTTTAACCTAAAATATTACAGTTCTTTATTCGATTTTTCATTCACCTTTTGTTTTATGTGACATCTGGGCTGTTCGGGGAGTGTTATTCCATCTTAAAATGGGAGTAGTTGTCTTTTTGAGTGGTGGAGGTTTTATGGATTGAGTAGAATAATGAACACGTAGAGAAAAGATAATACAGCTGACTATCGCCTTTCACATCTGGGAACATAAGATATTTAATTGATTTAGAGGGGTTATTTAGTCCGAGCATTTGCAATTAGCAGCTCTTAATCAGTAAAACGCTTTGTAAGGAATCTGCCTTGATGGGTAGATTGGTAAAAGGAGCAGGAGGAGCAGATATTGACGGTTTCTTATCTCCTCTCCCCAAACCCTCTGTGTTCTGTGAGAATAGCTGGCTGGGTGGGAAACACATCTGCACGTTGCTTTCTTCAAGCCATGGCTTAAAGAATCAGGCTGGAAGGGGCTTTGAGCTGTACTGCTGTGCTCTGTCCCAGGGCAGGGTGCAGGTGCCTTTACCATGCCCTGCCTGTCCCACATGTTATGGAATATGGTTTCAGCAGCCTCAGGCCATGGAGCTGTGCCCTTGTGCTCCTCCTGACAAACTCATTTTTTAATCTCCTCGAATCTCCCCCATGTAGAGGGTACTTTGTGTGAATGTTTTCCTCTCTTTGGCTGTGTTTAGGTGAAAGGGACGTGAGATCCCAGCAGGAAGGTGGATTATTTCTGCCAGGATGAGCGAGCGTTGCTAGAGATGATCTGCGGTGCAGCTGGAGCTGTCTGAATGAAGCTATGGGCTGTGCCTCCGCCAAGCATGTGTCTACTGTTCAAAACGAAGAGGAAACTCAGAAGGGCAAGAACTACCAGAACGGAGATGTGTTTGGGGGTGAGTGTTGCAGGATTGTCTTTCTCCCAGCGCCAGGAATGTTCTGGAAGGTGCACGAGGAAGTCTTAACCTCTCACGAAATGTAAAGGAAAATGTGTGTTAAAATACATCACAATGACAGAGCAGTTGGCACATCCAGGGGAGGGTACTGTGACACTTGAAACAGGTGAAATCCTTAGTGAAAAAGTAAAATTTTAAGTGATGTACAATAATACACTGTCTTTACCTCCACAAATCCTGAAATAGTTCAAAGACAAAGAGTTGCACGACCCCCCTCATGTATTCATATGTATGTCTCTCTTTTATATTTGTCATTGGGTACCAACAGAGTTGACTCATTTCCTAAAAATAAAAATCTATTCGGTTAGAAAAGTAAATCTTCCCTTCTGTTGTCAATAAAACATTAGTTCTGAAGTCCTGTAGCAAACAGGGTTTGAAGGTACAAAGAAACTGTGGTGCTGGGAATGTGGGATGAAAACATCTGTTCCTCTGTGAAGACTGCTCTGTCATCCAGGTCTTGTGCATCAGGAGAGGTAAAGTGATAGGAGATAAAATCACGGTCAGCTTCATGGGGTTTTTTCCCCCCCAGATTCTGTTAGTATACACAAAGTGTTTTTTAGATAAAAGATGTAGATCTTTAAATACAGATTTTAAAATTTCCGGAATTATGTGAAATACTGCTCAGAAATGAAATGTCTAGATCTGCCCAGATACCTTCTGAACGTTAAGTCAGCTGTGAATAAGCTGCCTTGGCACTGTTATTCTTAAAGCAGGTGCCTTGGTTCTGAGTACACCAAACCACCCTGGTGTTTCTTCCAGCTTTTCTGAGGGCTAGCTTGCTCTCCCAGTGGATCCCAGAGTAAGAATTCCCAGAGGTGTTACCTGAAGAGAAAGTAGTTGTTGAAAAAACTTCAGGACTGTTCAGTGCTCCTTCTCATCCCTGGGAGATGCTGGGTTTGGAATTGTGAGCTCAGTACATTGCTGTTGTTTAAAATAGGCTTCAAGTGCTGTCATAAACAGAAAATTCTATCAGTTGCTCAAAGCAATTTGAGTTTAAATTTTAGCTAATACTTAGTGAGAGGGCAATTTTTGGCAAAATATGAGTCTCAGTCTTTTTTTTTTTTTTTTTGGTGGTGGTTTAACCACATGCTGTGGGTCAAAGACCATAACGTTAACACAGGAAGCTTAAAGTAGCTTCTGGAGTCAGAGGATCAAGAGGATTGAAGGGATTTTGAAAGGCTCCCATTTATAGAGCTGGACTGGTGTCAGGAGTATCATTTAGTTATTCTGGGATCCATTTGAGGGCTGCTAATCGTTCCATATTTTGCTGTTGGGAGTCCTACCTGCTGTTAACCATTTTGTGGCCCATGCTTCAGTTTAGGTGCAGGATTTGTCATTCCTAAAGATCTGAGTCCATGACTGATTCTTTCTTAGCAGAGTTGGAGTCTGACTTAACTCACTGAATGGTAACCACAGAAGTCACATTTTTCCCTTGCTGGCAAAAGACAGCTTCTAGGTCAGGAACTGGGTGCATGAGGAGGTTGAGCTGGAGTTTTACAGATCATCCAGTGCCCCTCCCTGCCATGGGCAGGGACACCTTCCACTGTCCCAGGGTGCTCCAAGCCCCATCCAGCCTGGGTTGGACACTTACAGGGATCCAGGGGCAGCCACAGCTTCTCTGGGCACCCTGTGCCAGGGCCTCCCCACCCTGATGTTTCCTTTCTTATTTCTGGGCAGGGACAGAAGTGTCTCACACAGCCAGTGGCCATGAGCAGAGTATCTGTGCTGCCTGGAGGGATTAAAATTCCCTGCAGTATGATTAGGCAGAGCTAAACCAAGGCGAGTGGTAGGGAAATGAGGAGCCAGGAGGTGATGGAAAGGAAATTAGAGGTTAGTTTTTTGGGGAGGAGGCAGCAAAATAAAGGAAACAGAAGTCAGTTGTGGTTGGAAGGTGGCTGATGTGTCGGTAACACCCCGAGAATATCAGTGAGCAGAAACCAGGGTGTGCATGGACAGTGAGCACTGGCAGTGTTGGCAGCTGGGCACTAAGGACACATCAAGTGCCCGTGCAGAACGAGCAGGGATGAGCCCCACGGCCACATTGCCTCACATGTTTCACAAGGGGAGGAAATCCTGAGGGAATTGGTGCAGCAGTGAGAGGATGAAAGGAAAAGAGCAGAGTGCTGCCTTCCCTGGGCAGGCAGTGGGCTCTGAAGGATGTGGCTGACAGGAAATTGCCCCTCTCTGTGTGACTGCACCCGGCTGGAAACAGTTCACCTTCCTTCCTCCAGCACCTTCCCTGCACAAGCTGCAGGCAGGAAGAGCCAACAGCAAGGATAGTTCTTTCCAGGGAAGCAGTGCTTGGATTTTTTCCCCCCAGGAGTAGTTTTTGCTTGACTCGCGGTGAATCCAGAGAGAATTTTCTGAGCTGCTCAGAATGGTGTGGTTCTGCTTTGGCTCTTCCTCAGAACCTCTGGATCTTTTTTTCTTCTTTCATGGTGGGATTGGTTGCAGCCAAGTGAATTGATTATTGGGAGATCATGGCTTCTGAGAGATTCTTTTTTTTTTTTAACTTTTAAAAGTCACTGCAAGTTAAGATTGATCTCCAGTACCCTATTTCTTCCCCAGCTTTTAACCTTTTCTTTTAGCTGAGCAGACACATTGAGCTAGGTCCTCGCTGTGAATTTGAAATCTTGGTGTTTAAAACTGAGAAACCTGTCATGAAACCTATGAATTCCGTAAGGACAAATCCTGGTAAATGAAACCAAAACATAAAAATTTCCACCCTATCCCAAACTGTAGAAGTCATGCTGCATTTTGCTAGAATATATATTTAGATAATTGAGTTAGCAGGCCTATCAAAGGAGATGTTCTAGAGAAGATTGAATATAATGTGATTATTATGTCTGTTGGTCTCTAATGACTTTAAAATCCCTCTAATAAGGATAGTAATAATAAATCTTCATTTATTCATCATTCCACTTCAAAGCTGATTTCCAGGGCAATACATAAGAACTGTAATATGTAAATACCAATGAAGAACAAAATGCCATGATAGAGCCTTGAGCATTGTTGATTTCAGCATATGTTTTAATAATATAACATCTCTTGTAGATTAATTCTATTTGTGCCTGTATAAAAAATTATGGGATGTTCATTTGGGGAGGAGGTTATTGAAGTAATTCTCTGTAAGAAAATGAATGGTAATGTGATTTGGGAAAAAAATATTCTATAATCTGTTTATTAATCTGAGAAGCATAATCCAGACGTTTCCATGGAGCTCCTGGGTGCTTTGCAAAAGGGGGAGCAAACATGTCAGGTAGGAATTTTCTGATAAAATGGGAATATCGTGGTACGATTTCTGTTATTAAGAGCAGCTCCAATTGCTAAACCTGTCTAAATAAAACTGAATGCAAAGTACAGTAGTTTATAAACCAGTTCATCTCAGAACAGCTGGGAGAAGACTAGGAAAGGAAATCTTCAGCAGTATGGTAGCGAGGTTGGAAAACTGATTAGTGCACAAGGGCAGGCTGAGCTGGGCTTGGAGCAGCCTGGGATGGTGGAAGGTGTCCCTGCCCATGGCAGGGGATGGCACTGGATGGGCTTTAAGGTCCCTCCCAACCCAAACCACTCTGGGATTCTGTGATAGTATCTGATTGCTTCACAAACTCTAGGCCAGTTTTCTTTCTCACACTGATGTTTTCTTTCTTCCTGTGTGCTTTATGGGATTGTCTCCCTTCTGTTCTTCCCTGTTTTGTGACAGGTATTTCCTTCCTTGCCTCTGTCAAAGACAGCAGAACCCTGACGCAGTTTGAAGTAAATGCCAAATTGCTAAAATAATTGAAACCTTTAAAATGTGTCCCCTCTATGCAGAAGGAGAATAACAAGGAGGAATTTGAACTACGATTTACCATTCCTAAATATGCATTGTCATCTCCAAAAATAGTGTGTCCAAACCTTTGTAGAGATTAGTTTGCTTTGAAGGCTCTTTCCTTCAAAGAAAGTAAGAAATACCATCTTACTGAAAACTTCAGTCTTGGGATGTTGCTCACAAAATATCCCTAGGCCTGGCAAGACTGTTCAGATGAGGTAACTTCTAAACCCTTCTTGTTCTGGTGTACAAAATTTTGGAGGTCATTTGGCCATTTCAAGTGGGGAAGTTTTCAGTTAATATTTTCAGGCAGAAGAATATCTGAGAAGTGTTTCCAGTGAATAACACCTTCCTGTTGTTATACCATTATAACTCCTCTCCCTTCCCCTCAATTGCAATGGAAAAAAAAAAAAAAAAGCTAAAATTGAAAAAGAGAATTTTCTTTATTCTAGAAGACAGCGTGGCTATCCTCAGTGAACTGAAGCTGTTTGGAATGCTGCAGCTGAAGCAGTGGAACCTGTATCCTGTCAAGTGTGGATGTGTGCTGGGATCAGGAGGTCTCACTGCACTCAGACACACAGTTCCCTTTGCCTGGCAGCCTTTATTTGATGGGCTGGGGTGGTTGGCTGAAGGACTGCTCCAGCTCCTGTGGCTGTCCTCCAAGTTCTGCAGTATCAGCTCTTACTCATTCAGGAACAGATGCATAAGGGGACCAGCCCCATGCTGTGTCCTAATCCCATGCTTTGGGACTATAACTTTTTCAAAAGACATTTTCAAACATGAAAAATATTTCTGGTACAATCACAGGCACTTGTTCTCAATCCAAGCTCCATGGAAGTGAGTGGCCTGTAGGCACCCACTCTCTGAAAACTCAGTCTCAGTGGTCTAAAACCAAATACCACAGTGAGTTTCAAAGCAGGGGATTTTCATTGCTTAAATTCAGACTCTGGCTGAGCTCCTGAAAGGGAAAGTTTCGTGTTGTTCATGGTTTCAGCAGCTCCAGTGCTTGAAAGCTTAAGAAAAGCAGGTGAGTGAGTGAGTGCATGGCAGCAGAGGGTTGAAGTGCACGAGCATCTTCCAGAATTGTACTGGACTCTGTGTTTTTTAACTGTGAGAGGGCAGGTTTAGA